TTTTTTTCACGTTTAGGCATTAGGTATCTCTGTTGGCTTCTGGTGGCTTCTGGTAGCTATAGCTTCTGTTGGCTTTTGCTGGCTTCCGGTGGCTTTTACTGGCTTTTGGTGGCTTTTGTTGGCTTCTGTTGGATTTTGGTGGCTTCTGGTGGCTTCTGGTGGCTTTTGGTGGCTTTTGTTGGCTTCTGGTGGCTATTTTGTTGGCTTCTGGTGGCTATTTTGTTGGCTTCTGGTGGCTTTTGGTGGCTTCTGGTAGCTTTTGCTAGCTTCTGTTGGCTTTTGCTGGCTTTTGTTGGCTTCTGGTGGCTTCTGGTAGCTTTTGCTAGCTTCTGGCGGCTTTTGCTGGCTTCTGGTGGCTTTTACTCGCTTTTGGTGGCTTTTGTTGGCTTCTGTGGGATTTTGGTGGCTTCTGGTGGCTTTTGTTGGCTTCTGGTGGCTTTTAGTGGCTTCTGGTAGCTGTTGCTCGCTTCTGTTGGTTTTTGCTGGCTTCTGTTGGCTTTTGGTGACTTGTGTTGACTTTCGAAGGCTTCTGTTGGCTTTTGTTGCTTTTTGCTTTTGTTCGCTTCTGGTAGACCAGAAAAAAGTTCCCAAAAAAAAACAGAAAAAACATCCTTTAAAAAAAACGCGGCCATATATCACTTATATTCACTTATTATGTTTGAAATTTTTGCACCACGTTTCACATTGTTAACCGGAAGAAATGCGAGGAACACTGACAGGGACACCCAGCCTGAGACAGGTGAGACGCAGAGACTGCATCATACCAAGAGGTTTGACCGCATAGCTTCGGCGACCCTGCGTGCAAACAAAGTGGGTGCTCCAAATGTGAAAGGTTCCGGTACTGTATTTGTTTGACAAACGGGAAGAAAAAGTCTGACATGGGGGCACGTTTGTTCCATCCACATATTGCCTTCAGTTTCATAGACCTATATGTTATGTGATATTCATAAATACATATATATGTATATGTATATTTATATACATATTTTTGAATGGGACAAACCCTGCCTATCCAAACTCCTTGCGTACTTTCAGTGCTTGCCCTGATCGCAAAATCTAAGAAGGTAAGGATGTCATCTCATCCCTTTTGTGTGAAACAGTTTGTTTCGCACACGTAGTCTCACATCAATTATCCCAAAAGGCCGTCCCGGTCGACCGCGAGGTCAAACGTGGTGAACAGCGGGGAGATCAGTGAAGAGCAGTTCCAAGCGATGAGCGAGGAGCGGCGGACGTAGAGCGAGCGGCCCCCAGAGACCGGTGTGAAATACGAGAGATCAGGCGCTCACATCACGTTACCAGCATGTGGTCAAATGCACTTCTTGGGTCAGCGAAGCCTGATTTCAGTATTTTCACTGGTGAGAAGATGTGGTCAATGTCAGGCGATTTCGAGGGAGCAATATTAATCCGGCAACACTGGCTTGAACCCATTGTTATTCTTTATGGTGTGTGCTTTGGGTTCCATTCTTGGTCTGTTCGACCCGACGGATTCATGGCTGGAGGAGGAGCAGAACAAAGCTTGGCAGAACGAGCGTTCCAATAAGATCGAGAAACGCTTCACAGGCGCCGACCACCCGCGTCGCGACGACCCGAACGGGGGAAGACCGGGGGCCCTGCGCTTGGCCTGCGCTTGGCGCAAAGCTTTCTTGGCGAGGTGGCTCTACAAGTGCAGCGACCCCCCGCGAAACCTCTTCCATCACTTTTGCAAGTACCATGTGTTTTGTTTTTCCGTGTTTCCTTTCTCCAAGTTCCACACTTTAAAACCAGCAAGAATGAGACTGGCATAGAGTCTGCGTTTGCCATCGGGTTTTCCACATTTGTCCTTTGGACAGCAGCCTATTTTTGGTATCCACCAACTAGCAACTAGAACAAAGGGTGTCACAGAAACGCAATGAGACAGACCCAAACACCTGAAATCCTTACCATATCACCTGACCCAATGGATGATCCCTTCACCATCGTCCTTCAATCGAACCTCCTGTGCTGCAGTCACCCTGCGCGCGGCCACGGAGCTCCACAAGTCCTTCCCGTCAGTGCACGAGCACATACGCCAGAAGGAGGAATGTGTGGAACAGTTGAAGGAGAACCTTGGAGAAGGGTCCATGTTCTTTGACGAAGCCTGGTGAGTTTGGTTAGAAGGTTAGAAGAGATTTGATAAGGTTAGAAGGGATCCAAGCTACCTATCTCGTGGTCACCCGGTCACCATGGTCACCGTGATCACCTGAATTCACCAGGTATACGTGTCTTTTGCTGGTCGCAAGTTCGATGAACTGAATAACATGAAACTTGCTCAGTTCCGTGAAGGTACTTGTGTCAGTTCCGTGTATTGGTAGAGTGAGCGTTATTGTTTTGTTTTTTTTCTGTTGGACGGTTTCAGAGTTCGAAACCTGAAAAAAACAAACATGTGACTCGATCCTTCAGTAGCTTGCCAGACCAAAACCATCCAAAACCATTGGAACCAAGACAAGAATTGGATGGTCAATGGCAGTGTTTTGTATTGGGGGACCCCTAGGGTCCTAGGAAACACTAGGAAACAGCCTGTTTGTCTGACATGCAGCACTTTGCGAACTCAAAAGCCAGGAAAAAGCCACCTCTGAAAGATACTACAACAACCATCGCCTTGAAGTCAAAAACATCTCAAACCTGTCGAAGGAGAGGATCGGCCCTGCCGGAGGAGAGGATCCCTCTGTCTCCTCTCGGCTCCGTTCGATCGCCTAGGAAGGCTTCAGAGGCCATGGAGGCCCGCGTGGCCGTCTTCCAACACGTGGAGCGTAGGGGCTCCCAGAAGTGTTGGGGCTCAATTTTGAGGTGTTGGGTGCAGGGAGGGAGAGAGAGAGAGAGTGTGTGTAGGAACGACCATTGATTGCTTTGATCCCAGTTTTGCATCCAAATGCCGCATGCTGCGTGCAACTGGGTTCCAGCCTTCTCTCGGGAGGAGTCGAAAAGCATCTGGACGAGGAGACTCGGAAGAGCATTCGCTGTGAAGAGGAGCGAGGCGCATGGAGCGCGGCGCATTCGTCGCGAGGCGCAGGTCGAAGTAGGTCGATGTGCGCTGATCTAGTGGAGGCACCAGTGCCCGTGAGGGCCGCTCCGGTGGTGCCCCAACCGAGTCATCCATTCAGCGTTGGTTGTGTTCGGAGGAGGTTTGAGGGTTTTGCGTCGTGGGTTGATTGGGCCCTTCAAATTACAATGACTATACAAGACTGCAAGGATTCTGAAACTGTTGAAAGCATGGTATATCTTCTTTTTGGGCAACCACCAGATGGCATGATGACGGCAACAAAAGGATGGCCGGGAACAAGAATTCAGCCCTGCAAAACAGACAATTGAATTTCTATATCTACATCAACATCTCCAGTGACCTCCAATGTGATGAATCATGCATCCGAATTTCCTTGTGCTGTCGATCATGTCTATTTGATCCATCATCTATGCAGCTTGCTGCGTGCGAGAGTCGAGAGGCGCGCCCGGTCGCTTGGGAGGCAAATCCACCGACCAGCTGCAAGTGGCCATGGACAATCTGCAGGAGACCAGGAAGGCGACGTGCAGATTCTCCACCCTACGGCTCCAAGTACCTCCTCACAAGGTATTTGGACCCTCTAAACCCACCCCAAACACCTTCTTAGAAGGTACTTGGAGCCCTAGGGCCAAGTATGTACTAGTGGATCCTAGGCAGCCTGTGGATCCTAGGAAGCAATGGAACCTGGCGCCCTCGGTCCGTCTTTGGTTTTGAGTCTGAACCACTGAAAAATCCCAGCGACATCGTGGTTGGCGATATCCACCTGAATTCGATGAGGGGACTCATTGACCCTAGGGCTCCAACCACCTCCTGAGAAGATGGTTGGGGTGGGTTTGGGGGGTCTAACCACCTTCGGAGGATATGGTTGGAGCCCTAGGGTGAGTACAGGGCTACTATAGACTTCCGGCAGGCGGCCCGACAACCGGATCGGATGCTGTACTGTTCCGGGAACGGCGCGGCTTTCGGTGAGTTGAGGGTGTGTGAAAGCGAAAGCGCGCGCGTGATCAAAGGATCCCATGTTTTGGCCATGTGTCGGCTAACAAATATGAAGGCGAGTGCATTCCAGGCACTGTTGAGTGTTCTTAGTTTCTGAAGTTGAGGATTTGGCCTGCTGCTGTTAGTTGATATGGTCCATATGGTTGTTTTTTTCGTGTTCTTTTGTGGTTCCGATGTTGTCTTGGCAATGATTTTGCGGTGCGCATCTTTGGGTAGCAGCGTTTGTCATACAGGATCGTTTATTAATATTGTTTGTGATTCTAGTTTTGATCAAACATCATCGTGTGCAACAACCTACAGTATATGGGCTTAGATAGAGCATCGAATAGGTCACAAACAGGATCTAAGTTTTTTGGTCCATTTCATAGCTTGGTCAGAAGTATTATCTCCAAATGTTGCAACGACTCTTTTCATGTTATGTACACCCGACACTGCATGCGGAGGCCTTCTTGAATGCCTTGATTGCGGCCGTGGATGCCAGGATTGAGTCGGACGCCGACTATCAGCACGAAAAGAGGCGGGAGGGAGGCTTCCAGCATTCATCAATGGGGGCTTTGAGGTTGCGGCGGGTTTGCTGTTGGGCTTGATATTGCAATGTGGTTTAGGACTGTATATCTTGGTAGTTATATATTGAATATATTGGACCCACTAGCAGAAATGGTCAGTAGGCACAGATGACTAGCGACAATGTTCTCCTGCTGATGTTTTTCAGAGCCAAAGCCGCTCCTACAAGTTTTGTTATTTCTCGTCATGAGTTGTCATGCAATTTCACACATAACATGATCTTATTTATTTGCACTTAGACTCGACCCACCATGACCTAGTCATCTTTTCCAAGAACCATCAGGATCGACTCTGGCAGAGCCATTATTTCCAAGGATGGAGCCACTCTTGTTTGATCCGCTGCGAGACTATTCAGATGATCTGGTATATCGGAAGTTGTTGCTGAGCCACGGTATCACGAGGCTGGCGACCCAGGCCTGGTTCTTCATTGCACCCTTGGTCTTGCTGCGCTTCACGCCCGGTCGCCTTGAAGGCCCCGCCGTGTGGGGCCTCGCAACGATGCTGGGCTCGGCACTACTCACACCACCCTTGGGTGCTTGGGCAGACCGGATGGATCGCTGCTGGGTGGTGACGCTGGGCGTCAGCGCGCAGGCATTGGCCGTGCTGGGCTCCACGTGGGTTTTGGCGCTCGATGCCGTCCAGAGCGGCTCTGGTGCGGCACTGCCAGCACTGGGGGCCTTCACATGCTTTAGCGTGCTGGAAGAGCTGGCCAGCAGCCTGAGCGATGTGGTGGTGAAACGGGACTGGGCACCACGGCTCTTTGAGGGTGAACGTTTGAGACGCGCCAACTCGATGATGTCGCAGATCGACCTTTGGAGTAAGGCTCTGGGACCCTTTCTGGCTGGGTTGCTCATGACCTTGCTGGGCGATGCCTTTGGCTTCGTAGCAGTTGGACTCTTGAACGTCCTCTCGTTCCCACCGCAGCTCCTGCTACTGCGCAGCATCTACACTGAACGTGTGTCCCAGCTGCAGCCTTTGCCAAAGGAGGTGCACGAGGCAAAGCCTTTGACGGCGAAGAGTGCGGCTTGGAGGGCGTGGCTTGATCACCCCAGTGGCATCCAGTTCTTAGGCATCTCCTACTCCCTCCTGTATCTGACGGTACTCTCTCCAGCAGGCCCCTTCCTCACGGCACACCTGGCGCAGTGGCAGGTGTCCAGTTTACAGCTCTCCTTGTTCAGAGGCGCCGGGGCATTAGTTGGAGTCGCTGGCGTCATGGTGTACCCCTTTGCTCAAGACCTTCTTGGCCCTCAGCTGGCCGATGCCGTTTTCGCACTCTGGCTGGCCACTTGGATTCTTTTGGCGCTGGACACCTTCCACCAAGCCGTTTCTGCTGGGGGGGCCTCTCCGGCTCTCCTCATCTTCATGTGTGCGGTGTGCCTTGCACGGCCTGGGCTTTATGGCTTTGAGTTAGGCTTGCTGAACACCCAGCAGGACCTCTCCGATGCTCGACATCGATCTGCCATCGGTGCCGTGGACTCGGCACTCGTCTCCTTGGCCACCTTGGCGATGTACGGGTCCGGGTTGGTGCTTTCACGGCCTGAGCAGTTTGTGGTGCTGGTCGATATGTCTACCCTTTTCGTCTCACTAGGCGTTGGCACTTACCTGATGTGGATGCTTTTGTACCATTCGCACAAGCACAGGCATAGCACACTAGGCATACTTGGAGACCTGTGCCATGAGCATGGCCACCATGGCCATGAACATTCACATACACTGCAGCAGGAGGAGGCTTTGACCGTGGATGGTTGGCACGAGCACATCCACTTCCACATGCCAAACTTGTGCGTACAGCAATGAGCGTGGCCAAACCTTTGGTGATTCATGCCATTCATGCGCGCAAAAAAGTATTTTGATGGCCTGAGAAACCGCATAAATTATATATAGGTAAACTTATTAAGCATGTGTTCTGTGTTCATCATGCATTACAATCATTTACAATCTATAATATATATCTGTATGTAAATATAGACAATGGCGTTTTGTGGTCAGCTTCCCCGGTAAAGAACTACAAACAAGATCTTGCATGGATCCTTCTCTCGTTTTCTAAAACCTAGAAATGCATCATTTGTAGATCCCGAGTTTCCCTTGCATACTGTCCGAAGAGAACTGGCCTGTCAAACCTCCAGAACACGCACAGGGTTGGTCATTCGGACATGGAACTGAAGGTGTACACAGCATTCTGTATAATATATAGATATTTGTGGTTAGAGTATAGAAGTACTGACATACTATATATATATATCGTACTATATCACTATCTATGTTTTACGCCCTTAACAGGGATTACTCCTAAGAACAAAAACTGCCATCCGGAAGGACTTACCGCTTCCCGTGCATCGTCCTGCATTTGTTGATTCGTGTTGGCAGACCTTGACTGATTTGGTGAGTTGGCGCATCGAGCTTTCGGGGAGTTCGTCTTTGCGTGTGGAGCAATCGATCTGGGGTCCGGGTGGAAACATCAACTCTTCTATGAATGATTTGACCGTGAGATTCAATGTTTGGGTATGCTTGGGTCATCCTTCCATTCAGTTCTTCTCTCTCTTTGCAGAACATGTGATGTCCAGGCTGGGAGAGAGCATGAGTGCGACCCGCTCGGAGTTGCAAAAGGCCGTTGAGGCACACGCGACTTGGTGTTGCATCGCCACCTGGGCACCTGGGGCGGCTACCACCCATGGCAGGACATGGCGCACTCAGAAGAAAGGACATGTCAATGTAGGGAGATCCCCCAATCCCCTCCAGCAGGTACGAATTTTGTCATTGGATGACAAGAGCTGATTAGTCTCGGTTGGATGTAAAAGTGGTCGTTTTTGAAAAAACTGCTTGCGCGATTTGGTGTTGTGGGCCATCGACGATGGCCAGCTTCACCGTCTCAAAGCAGCGGATTATGGGATCTCAACTTCCAACCTTTGCTTCCAAGGTCCTGTGAGCTTCCGCATCAACCTGGTGCCAACGAGCAAAACCACCTGTCACAGTCTCTCAAGAGCTCGAGAGCGTCGATAGACCGCAGTCGCTCAATCCCCTCCCTGGGGTCGATGAGCTTTGCCGGTCGAGTCGACCAGGCACGCGACTTGGTGTTGTATCGCTGTGACCAAGTGGAGAAGCAGGTGCGGCGGTGGGGTTTGCCGTATAGACGGATCTAATTCTAGGGATAAGTGTGGGTGGGCTTGTGAGTTTGGATTTAGTACCAGGACGGACAGTTCAATGATCAGGAAGTAGAAGCAGGACTGGCATGGTTTTTGTCAGTGAAGGTTCTCGATCCCTTGGATCAGTTTGGATCCCTTTCATGGTTTTGCCACACAAGTTGGTCTCGAAAGCTACAAACGCTTTGCATTTGTTGTGCACGTTTGACTTCCTATAGTACATCCGCCAACCCCTCAAGAACAATCTTCAAATTCCTCCCAAATCCAAGTGCCTCCTTGGACTATTAGAAGGATTTAGAAGGTCTTTGGACCCTCCAGACTCCAGGCCTACATCAAGGTGTCTCCCATCACCAGAAGGCAGGTAGATCGACCCCCCCAACCGTCCATCCTCGACTCCAGGTCGCCGAACAGACGGAGGCAGTGCGGCAGAAGATCGAGGACACACTTGTTCATCGGGGGGGAGATCCCATAACCAATGCCCGACTCCATGGAACTGGCATAGACTCCATGGGACTGGCGATACCCCATTGACCTCCAAAGCAACCACCGGCCGTTTTGAAGGCAGTCCGTCCTGGCACTCCCAGTCGTGGAATGGGAATGGGTAGACCTGGTCATTTGGGGTCCATGTCGCGAAGGAGGGTCGGAAACGCCTGGGAGGTCTCGACCTCCGTATTTCGAGACACAGGCCACATCGAAATGAAAACATCCGTGGAGGAGCTTGCATTCCAATTAGAGATAGTCCAGTAAATGAGATTTGACCTGGGTACTCTAGGATTCCCCTGCAAGTACCCAGTATAGTGACACCGTTTTTTTATGTTGTGGAATTAATATATATATATATATGTTGCTTTTTCATGGGACGATCGGCTCTGGCCGAAGTGGGAAGACTCTGAAAGCATGTGAAGACGGGTTCTGCAGGAGAAGCAGAAGGATCTATTGTCGCACACGGTGCCGAGCGTGAAGGACCTGCGTGCGTGAGCTCGCCAGCCTTGTTGCTCAGACCGGGAACAATTGAGGTAGTTTGCGAACCGTCGCAGCGAAACACCAGCAACTTCCATGCATGGATTCATGGCCAAAGACAGCATCGTCGATGTACAGGTTGAGTTGTTGTGAGCGCTGGAGCCAGATTCCTTGGAACACCAGGGGGAATTCGCCACACTCTGCAGGATGAAGAAGGGAATAACGGTTTGCAAAGCAATCAGCGGCCGGATACAAAATTGAAACAATCAGCGGCCGGATACAAAATTGAAACGTACCTCACTTGCGGATGATGCTGCAAGTACTAAGTCAATGTAGCTTCCATCAACGGAATTAATCTGGCTCAACTTCAACTCAAGATTCCAGCATCGAACATCGCTTCATCATCCTTGGTTTAATTGTATAGAAACAAAATTGCTTTTTGTGGGGTCCAACCTTACCTCACTTGCTTGGGCCATAGGGTTGTTTTAATTGCCTCTTACACGGTGACCACATGTAAACCGTGTATCGAAATGGGAAGAAAAAACCCAGGTCGACCCCCTGAAAGATAACATCGACCAGTCTAGCCAGTCTAGCCAGGGTGTCATCCCAGGGTGTCTCACACCCCAGGCATTCGACGCGATGTGGAGCTCTCAATTGTTTTGTTTCGTTTGCTTTAGGAAAATCACCCAGGTTTGATGTTGTGTGCATTTGTCCTGGAAGTCGAGCCCTCATCAGAATTGTCACCCAGGATGTCCAAAGTTCGATGTTGTTGTTTTCATGCTACAGTATCTTTTGTGTTTCATGGAATTCGTTGATGGTGGTGAGCTAACGAACGTTTCAGAGCCACCTTCTTTGCAAGTTCACATAAGTTGCATGTGGTGCTCAGATGAGACCTCTTGTCCGACTGAATTTAGAGTCGTGTGCTTTCATTGCATTGCTGGGTCTAAACCGCTGTCCACGATGCATCGTTCTCAGGAGCATATGCTGAATCTCGCATTGAGTAATGAGCTCTTGAACCGTGTGAGGGAGGAGAAGAAGGAAGAGTTGGAGGTTCTTCACAAGGACGTCGGACAGGGATTGAGTCCTTGTCTTAGACAGGACTCAGTGGATGATGGGAAGGTTCATGTAATTACCCGTATATGATGTAGTTGGATTCACAGGGCCCCGCAGCGAAGAGGATGCGATTCTGGCTTGTTTTGTCTTGTTTTGATTCACAGCTACAGACTTGGAGAGTTCGGACGGAGCACCAAATCCTCCGCAGCACAACAGCAGCCCGGACCGGTCTCTGTTTTCTCCGGCACGGAACTCTTTTTTTGGCCTCCGTGACACGAGGAGCGCGATGTGGCCATTGCCAAGGTGAACGCCTTGAGCACCAAGCAGCGGGGCAACAAATCCAAGCCAGCGGCCCCAGTGGAAGCTGAAGTGAAAAGCCACCAATATGACTTGGGTTTGTCCGTTCTTACCTGTAACAGTACCCGGTTTCACAAGCAATTCACAATTTTTGGACAAGGCCTCTACTAACCATCATCCACTGAGGCGCAGGTAAAGGAGGACGACCCAAATCATATGCCCATATGCCCATGGATCAGACGCCTGGGGGGCGCGGGTTGTTCCCACTGAAAAAATGAACCCTAAATCAACTTGCCGAGAAGGTCAACTGCTCAGGAGGGAGGCTTAGCTCAGGCGGGCTCCAGGTCTTGAGCCACGGCCATAAGAAAGGCCCAGACCTCTTTATAAGGAAGGTGGTGGAATCCTTAGTGGAAGATGCTTTGTCTCAGGTGTAAAAGGTCTACTTCCAAACAAAAACACGCTGGAAAGGTGTTCTAAGAAAAATGAACAGCACACATCCACATGGAGCATGGAAAGGTGTTAGTGGACAGGTGTTTCTGCTCGGTACTTGTGGAAACGGGAAGATGTCACAGGAGCACTGTGGCCAATTGAGCGAGTTTGAAGATAAACACTTGCCTCAAACGTGACTGGTGTGTCTTTCGAAGGTTCGACCAAACTACTTCACACGCACAGCTGCAGTTTTTTTCAGCATGAGACGTCTGTCAGACTGTGCAGATCCTTCCCAAAGCACGTTTAGGTTTTTCTTTTTCTGAGCTGGGAATTCCCAGCCATAGCTTTTGAAGGCACCAACACCATTGGTACACCCGCTCTTCCAAGAGATCGTACACGATCTTTGCATTTGTTTGCTAATCACTGGTGCAAAGTCCGAGTAGTTCCATCGAGGCGGGAATCTCTCTCGGTTAGGCACATGGAACTTTGACATTGCTCAACTCAGTTCAAACCATGAGGGATCAAGTTTCATGCCTCCACTGAGTAAGAACATGGTGCTATCGACAAGAAGATGAAGCTGACTGCCCCCACAATCCCCCACCCACCCATCTTCATTGGGCAAGTCACAAGTTCCTTGCGCAGACACAATATGCACAACCCCTGAAAAATCACCAATAGGACGCATGGAACCCGTGGCATGCCCAGGATCCACATTGGTCGAATCTAGATTCTAGATGGTACAAATTGCATCGACACAGTCAAGTGGTTTGTTTTTTACAGTCAAGTGGTTGTCGTCAACTCACGCCTGCCCAGTGGGCAGCTACCCTAGAACACCTGTTTGGACAGCTACCCTGAGGAATCACGTCGGAAGTGAGGCATTCGCATGCATCAAGCCAGGCTAGATCTCTCGCGCAAGAAGGAGGAGGCGCATCATCGGGAGGTTTCCTGAGTGTTCACATCCCAAGAATGAGCTTTCTGCTCCACCCTGCCGATCTGGCAAGCTGAGCCATCCATCTAAAAGACTTGGCCAGTCATGTCCTGGTGAGAAGTTCCTGGCGCCCATGGTTGTTTTGATGTGTTTTTGCTGATGTGTGTTTCTCAAAGCCTGCGGGATTTGCCGAATCTGATTGCGGAGCCAACTGGCACCAACTTCTGGGGCAGAGAAGCTGGTACCTGGGTATATAACCATCTCACCCACTGAAGAATCGGCAGACTCCAGGTTACAGTAAGTGCTCATGACTCATGAACCTATTGATTTTTGTTGCAAATCTTCCATGTTTACTACGTTACTACTTTCAGAAATGATTCACCCAAGACTCATGGTCATGGATTATATAGGTGGGATCGAATCAGGAAGAGTTGGTGCAGGTAGCTGCTGTACTTCACAATTCTGAGGATCACATTCATGAGAGTTTATTGGCCTGAGCTAAACCAAACATTTTCTAGAATCTGTTTGCTGTGTGCAAAACCGGCAAAACCGAACATTGCAGGTGAGCAAGTACATCAAGCTCATTGAGAGCCGCCAGCAGGCACGATTTCATTGTTTTGGACTGCTTTTTACGTTTAGTGTAGACTGTATAACACATTTGGTTGGCCGGTGCAAGTAGATACCTGACAGCCCATTGGCAAATCCAAGTAAGTTGGCAGAAAGTCCAACGACCGACAAGAAACAAGCACTAGGACATACTAAGACTCATTAGACCATTGACTTGAGACCCCAAATGACAATCGCTTCCTTCTGATTCTCAGGTCATCCAGATACTACATGACGTGTGTATTGAAATAGGGAGACAATGCCGACCCCCCAGTTCGACCCTGTCTACCCATGGGTTGGAGACCTCCCTATTTCATAGGTTGGAGGTTGAAGAGAAGCAAGATGGGACTGGGGAAAGGTTTTTCCGCTAAGCGAAGGGCACCGAACCTCCTTTCAGCGGCGACCCGTCTTCCCGGAGCGACCGGAGCGAACGAGATCCCGTTGTGCTCACAGCAAGAGGAGCAGCAAGATCCAAGCTGTACCAACAATCAATGCCACAATCAATGCTTTGATGTGGGATCCAAGCACATGGCATGATGGGGTGGTTGCTTGTTTCTCACCCTAGGCTACTGATAGAATCATATAGAATCCGTGCACCCTTTGAGAAAGGAAAAGGCCAGGAAAGCGTGCATATCCAACTCCATTGTGTTTATCAACATGATGTCCTTGAGTCCGTCGCGAAAACGTCGCATCAAATGGCACCTGCAGAGAGCGACGTTTTGTCGCCGTGAGAGCGACGTGCCGTACCATGTTGGACGTCTTTTCGCACCGCTCGAGCTGATGTGAATGGTCCGACCCAAACTGGCCATGTCTCTCCATGAAGCATACCATTTCCATTGAACTGCCTCAAAACCCATGAACTATGTCCCTATGTTCCCAAAATGGGGTTCCCAGTTCAGGTCACCTGACCTACAGAGGTGTTTGCCTTTATGTCGCCTATCGTATGTACCTATGACGTGCCTATGTCCCTGTATCTGATGGGGTACCACTTCAGGTCTCAAGACACCTTTCAACCGGTACCTTTTGGTACCCAGCACTCGACGGGTCTTGGAGGTCTTGGAGGCCTTGGAGACGGAGCTCCACCGGGCTTCGGAGCAATATGCTGCCTGGCAAAGGTACATATGTTTGTTTGGTCACAGCTTTATTTGGCACGTTTAGATTTTATCTGTGACGCCTTTTTTGATAATTGTGAGTTTTTTTTTGGTGACATAGCTGTATAGCTTGAACAAAAAGGCCATAAAATAAGTACAGGGTACAGTGTTCCACCCAAATGCATCCAAATGGTGCAAAGTACGCAGTGTACAAGTTTTGTAGAGCGTTTTAGTATGTTTTAGTTATATACATAATATACATCATATTATATACATCTGTTTTACGGACTTTACCCCAGAATAGGACGGACCCCTAAATCGACTAAGTATCCACCATGGTTGACCAGTGTGGTTGGTACCTTGCTTCCTTTCGTACTCCACGTGTGGCCACGACCTTCGCTGAGGAGTTCTGCCGGTCCTTGGGGGTGCACCACTCAGAGCTGGACCATGAAGATGCCATGCGTTTGGCCAAGGCCAGGTGCTACGCCTGTGAGCTATCGCTAGGAGCTCGGAGCCAGACGGCCTTCATTCGCTAGACGAACGAAACGGGGCGATCGGACCGGACGCTGCGAACGGGGTAAGGGGCGCTCCGGGCCTTTCTACGAACGGGACAAGAAGCTACTATAGGAACAAAGGGATATGAGTCACTAAGTCACTGGTGGGTACGCTGGTGGGTGAGGGAAAATGCATGCGCGGCTGCGGTTGGGACGGATCGAACTCGCAGTTAGTGATACTTGAGGATCAAAAAGAACGCCGACATCGCACCAGATGGAACGTGTGTCTCCCCACGATCGTTCAATATGTTGGACTGTAATTACATTGTTTTACCCAAACAGCGATGATGAAAGTGGTGTCCTAAACAGATAGAACATGATAGGACCCCCTGCTTTCACCTGGCTTCAGCAATCGACGACAAAGCCGCCGTCTTTGGCGCGGGGCGGGGCAACGTCCAGGCAGAAGCGGACCGTTGCCTGGGCAGCTTTGAATTTTGGAAGGAGGATGAGGCTGAGGTGCTCGTGGAGTTGATTTGGATGTCGTTGACTCTTTTAGGTGTACTACAGATATCCACAGGCAATTGGGTGATATGGGTGATGGGTGATAGTCTTTGTTGCTTTGCTTTATCAGCAAGGTATGGTTTGACGGGTGCTTCTACTGCATACAGATATGCAGTTGCTGTATTCCGATTCTACATTGATTTCTGCAAGATTAAACTTTTTAGGCTCGTGTTCAACTATATATATATATACACATGCAGTATGTGGACGCTGAGCAAAGAAAAAGTACTACGCCTCCCAAAGCAGGGCAGTCGGTAAGCAATCGGTGATTTGTCATTCTCACCAATTGAGCAATGCGCGTCAACTCACTCAGGGTCTCCCCATTTGATCGCCCTCGCTGTCCAAAACTCGGAGGCGCCATAGATCAATTAATGCTTTTGAAGTAGCTCCCACGGTGTGCAGGTCCAGAAATACCATAGAAGCTCACTCGCGGGCGTGGAAAGCCAACTTTTGTGGGGGAAGAAACATTATCTACAAGCCTGCAATCAACATCGGGATTTGAATCGTTTCGTTTGTGGAGTTCAGATCCTGAAAATGGGTCCAGGCCATCACTGAGGAGGCCGACCCGAACTGCACCACGTTGCAGATGCTTGGCTGGGTTGGGGGTTGGTGATGTGGGAGGCTTTGTTGATTCCAAGTTCCAAGGACCTCGGAAGCTTTCAGGGCAGGGGTCAAATCCTGGACCCCCGAAATCTGCAATAAATCTGCTAGATGAACATGCGATCTAACCCAGTCAGGATGTTTTCGTCCACACGCTACAGCTGTGCTTCCGTGCGCAGTCAGCAAAGACCCGGTTTTGCTTCGAAGGAGCTTGAATGTCGTTCCAACCCGAGCACACAGGGATTCTTCAAGGCGTAATCAGCGAGGAGCCGGATGAGTGTTGCATGGTCCTGGGGATGGTGAGACTCCCCTCCCCATCCTGTGCGGCATGTGGTACTCACCTCCTACCAGGCGTAGACCGATTGTGATGTATGCTGATTAATCTCAACAAATACTGTGTTGACAAATCCAGCTTACAAGTCGTGCAGAATCAGAGCACTCAATGAAATGTTGCTCCTCCTCCACCCACGAGCGCCACCCATGGCTTTGCCTCCTATTTAACTAAAGCACGGCGTAACTTCAGGGGTTTTTCACTCAACGACTGGGCGGTGGCTGTGGTGGAAGCACCGTCCTCCGCACACCGCACCTGAGGCTCATCTCGGCCAAGAAGGACCTCGAGGCTTCCTCTGGGAATCGGGACACCAGCTCGGGTCCATCGGTTTGCCACAAAAAGCCGGACTGGGCAGACGGAGGTGGAGAGGCTGCGGAGGGAATGCTTGGGAGGTAAAGCTATCGTTCAAGAGACTTGGAGGTGGAGGTTGAGAGGCCCGGCTGGGACTGGATATTGAATTGGCTAATAAGGCTGTGAATTGGCTCGGTCTGTGGGGAGGTGCAGTAGACCTTCTGAAGGGTTGAGATGTTGCTGTCTGAACTTTCTGGGGCGGAGAACCGCTAAAAAAAAGGCAGGCTGGTTTTGGTGTTCTTTCCAGGATGTGCTTTCAAGATGTTCGAAGATAGAAAGAATACTGGTCAATCCTTGATCAACGAATTTCAATCTCTCTTCGATTGTGCCCAAGCCGGAGCAGTGCAGGGTATTTATAAATAAATATTGATATCCTTGCCAGGTGTCAACAAATGCCTGGCCATGCCTGGCCTTAACAAGACAAACTTTGTTGTTTATATTTTCTTGTCACTTGGTACATTGAGTGTTTCCTCGACCATGCGATCGTCGGAGCTTGACTAACTACACATCCTGACCTGGTCCTCCACAATTGCCAAGAGTTTCTGACTTTTGAGCCATCTTCTGGCCAAAATCCAAACGAACTTCAAAGGAACGACTGAGCCAAAACTTGAGGCAAAATGGTTTCTGGAGATATGGTTTGATGGCTCACTTAGTTCTTGATTTCCCTGCGCTTCATCAGTCAAACTCACCACACCAACATCCTTTTTATTTTTGTTCACATGGCTTTTATTCAACAACGATTCAGTTGTTCAAACCCGACAAGGCATGCTATTTAGCAAATCTAGTCTTTTGTTGAGATCGTTTTACATTCAACCTTTTTCCAGAATTTGCGTCCCCACCCAAAGGAGGATGACGGTGAACAGTGAAGAGGGTTACGGTTACTCCTTCATGTTTTGCGGATTGGTTCTTGATGAGTTTTTGGGACACAAAGTCTCGGCCAGGATCAGATGACGCAGGCCTTCAAGAGGGAGCTGGATCAGGCCACTCAAAGCTCTTCCTCACAGATGACCGATCAGATGATCCCTTTTTGCACGAACGCCAGGTTCACGCGGACAACCGCCTTGAGCACCAGAGGAAAGATGAACAGTGGCTTGGAGATTTCGATGCAACTGGCAAAGATACTCAGAATTCCTTGAAGCAACACATGTGCGTTGCCTCCCGAGAATGGAAGATATAGTCAGACTTGCAATGGATTGTTGATACATTCAGGATCGGGGGATTGATCCCGCAATAGAAACTGAAGGGTACCAATCTAGAATGATCAGAGGTCCTTGATATCGAGCTTCCCAATCAATGGGAGTTGATCGAAACCACCTGCATGTTCAAGGAATTACCGAAGCTGACCCCTTTGTTCATACTGATTAATTAAGTGTTCACGTGCAATGACATGAGATTCTTTCTTGTCTTAATGATTAAACCGCCAGTGCGGTTTCGATGTTGCTTGGTATGTGGGGCGCAGAGCCCGTCGGGACCCGTTCGTCGGGGACGGTGCCAGAGCCACAGGGCTCTCGTCGCTTCCGCCGAGGCTGGAGGACATGCGGGCCCAGATGGAGCAGCAGCAGGAGGTCACTGCGAGAATGCAGGAGGGCCGCGACAGTGTCCAGCAACTGGTCGGGAAAGATGCAAATCACCATATGAAGTGGTGGTTAATATGGAAGGTGCCAAACCAGGAATTCTGAAGGCGGCATGGAAAGAAGTTTTTGATTCAGTCAATGCATCTCAGTTTCGTGCACATGGAAGAGATGTGCGTGAGTGAACACCAGATAATTGGTAGCAATTGTGCAGTTGCTTTTGCCATCTGTTGTCAGATCGTCTCTAAATCATGATATTATATTTGCTATATAATTGGTTGGCCAGAGACCAATAAAGGATGAACTGCACCGCCCCGGCGCCCCAGTGTTTGATGAATACCCCAGTCAGATGGGTTTCTTTGTGTCACAGTATGTTCTATGTGTGTGTGTGTTATTTCTTTTGTATACCCAGGTCCTATAACCAACCCCTTACCTTCAGATTGTTTCCCGATCCTTGCTTCAGCTAAACGTGGGAGTTTTTCCTTCCCAGGACATGATGGTGCAGATGCAAGAGATGCTCCGAAAAAGCGGTGTGGCACTTCCACAGGACTGCGACCGACCGTCTCGGTGGAGTACACCGAGGCTGTGGACATCTGTATATAGGGGGTTGGTCTCAGACACTCAAACGCTCCATGGGACTGGCGTGGGAACGAACCCGGGCGCATGTCCGGTCTATATTCCGGACATGGAGCGGGTGAGAGGGAATGTCTCCACCAGTGAGGATTGGACATGACTCTGGTATTCCCCACGGTCCGTTCAGTTTGTTAAAAGGACTTCGGGGGACTATCTCCTGTGACTCTGACCATCACCAAAAGGTTTGTTTAATCATTTTTCTCCATTACTCATTACTCATTACTCATGTGAATATGTTGTTTGTCTAGCCGCTGGCTTGAGATGGGTAATCCCTTGAGGCAGATCTGTTCAGGTTTATCCACTTTCCTCTTCGGGGTGGGTCTTCCCATTTAGCTGCACTTACTGGGGTCAACCACCTGTCTCAACTTCTAAACAATAGACAATAGATTCATATAGATTCTAATATATTGCTTGGCTGGCATTGATGAATAGATTCGACTAGGGTTGGTATACTATAGCCTGTAGGCATTCAAGAAAACCTACATAGATGTGCTACCATCAGATCCGAAATTCTTGGACGGATACATTCTGAATTCTGGGAGACTAATCTAGGCAATGCTCACATAGAAAACGAACCCTGTGGAACAAGCTGCAAGTTTCATACTCGGACCAACCAGGTGTCACCAATGGACTACACTACGGCTCGACTCAACTTTCAATTAGAATATATATATATATACACTGAAAATCTACCTGTTTTGTGAATCAGTAGACTGCATACAGATGTCTGCGAAAGAGAACTGTTGTCAAATGATGTTCAAAATACAATGGAAGCTCTTGAAGACAAGTGTTCACTTTTGGTGTTCACGAGATTCCCTGAAAAACAAATTTGCCAACCCCCCCAAAGTCAGTGTTTTGCCCGTACTTGCCAAGAAAAAACTCGCCAATCCAAACCCCAAAACAAGGTAAAAACAAGAGAAAACGATGTGTTGAAGACGTGTTTGAGCCGTTTTTGTTGCGTCTTTTTCTCCACGTGCCCTCACCGCTCACCGTCCCTCACTGTCTACCGTCGTGGGTCAGGAGATGCCCCGTGCCGACTCGGAGGGTTGGGAGCGAACGGAAGCGGAAGCGGGTGTGGTGTTTCGGTTTGTCCCGGCAACCGGGTGGTTAGGGGGTCAACCGGGTGGTTAGGGGGGTCCATGTTACTAAATCCGCCTGCAGTAGGTGAGTTGCAAGTGGCGCTCCAATGCTGCTCTTCTTGTTGGGAAGCAGACGATCAAACAGGGCCTTGCAGAAAGACAGACTCTGGGCCTCTTCCACTCTGAGCTTGTTCACAGCTGCCCAGGTGGGGGTTCAAGTGGTAACCACTGGTTAACCCGGAGGAGCACTTTGACCGGATGCCGAACGAACCGCTCCAAGTAGCCCAACCCATGTGGCCTTCTGGACTTTAAACATTGGGTGATGCCCAACCCATGGGTAGACGGGGCTATTTCCCGAACCTTGCAATGGGTCGGAACACCTGAGAGGTCTCCTACTTCAAGACACACTGTGGCGGGCACGAAGATATTCCTTTGTGGTTGTTCGACCAAACTCAACCTAGTAGCAATGGCCTCCAACCTAGTAGCAATGTCCTCCAACCTAATAGCGATGGTCTCCAACCTAGGAGTGATGGCATCCAATAAGATTTACAATACTCTTGCTCCTCCTCCCTCCCTCGCTCTACCTTGCCTTAACGATGCACTGCCGGCACTTCACGTGTTTGACTCGATAGGCTGTCACTACAAAGTTCAAAGTCAAGTCATCCTAAGTCTACCACTAGTATCGTTGGTTCAACTTATAGGAGGAGCTTGTTCATCCTAGTCAAGGATAGTCATCCTAAGTTCAAAGTCTAGGGAGTGACTCTTCACACCGATTGATTCCCTATATTGGAGCATCGATGAGCAGCCATGAGCACGCGCTGCCGCAGGCTACCACATGGTTCCCGATAACGCTTCAGCTGAGACCACGAGTGATGATGCATCAAATTAGACTCCTGGGTGATACTAGATGTCAGGTTCCACAAGACTAGTTTGTAACAGCTTGAAAGGGGATGCATGAAACGCAACTGTTTTCCAACCCTATTTGAGCAACCGCTTTCATTTGTGTTATGCTAAAGTAGTCAACAGCTTAAAAGATGCTTTGGCCCCACATCCTTCCCCAGGAAAAAAAGAGATATGAGATGCAGGTTCACATGGTATGCTAAGTATGGGTTTTGACATGCTTTAACGAAAACCCACTACCATAAATGCATGCACATGAGATCCTTCTACACAGGGGGGTATTATGCGTTCGCACCTCTTACCTTTGTTCCGGTGGTCCTGTTTAGTTCAATGAAATCACTACAGTGCAACATAGGTGTCCTCACCTCATTTATGCATCTTGCGATTGTCCGCATCGGTTTTCTTTTTTGTTCAATGAACGTATATATACATACACAACGCGTCCGCGCCTCACACCTACGTTGCGGTGGTCCGCACTTTGCTTAGTTCAATGATATCACTACCGTGCAACATAAGTGTCCGCACCTCTTTTATGTGTCTTGCGGTTGTCCGCATCTTCTTAAATCAACACATATACAACAGGCGTCCGCGCCTCTTAACAAC